TAGCCAGGTGGGGGTTGGTCTCTTCTCCCAGGCAACCAACAATAGGACAAGGGGACATGGGCTCAAGCTCTGCCAGGGGAGGTTTAGGTTAGATGTTAGGAAGAAATTCTTTAGAGAGAGGGTAACCAGGCATTGGAACGGCCTACCCAGAGAGGTGGTGGATTCACCATCCCTGGAGGTTTTTAAGCAGAGATTGGATGTGGCCCTTAGTGCCATGCTATAGTAATTGGAGTTGGATCAGGGGTTGGACTTGATGATCTTGGAGGTCTTTTCCAACCCAATCTATTCTATGATTCCATTAGTCTATGATTAATCAATTGCTGCAAAAAGTAATTATATACATGCACGCCTGTTCCCTTGAACAGTTCTGGTTTACTGCTAGATTTAGGCAAGTCAGTTGCTACTTGCTTCTGCAAGTTACCACGCAGGCAGGCACTACGCCAACTGTGGCTCAGGAGGGTACAACATAATCCGTAAGAGGAAACTTGCAAAGTTGGAGAACAAAACTGCTTGTTTGTTTCACCTTCTACAATTTCTCAACTTACCATGATGGCTGAGAGTGCTGACACAGAACCTAGGCAAGTAATTCCTGTAGTGTAACTGGGATCCATCATGTACGGAATCATTCCACCAATGCTGGCAGCCAGCAATCCCGCATTTAATGCATGTCGACCAGGCAAGAGCAGAGGGGCAGAATTCAGGATACCTGCAATAAAATGCATATTCAGAGTACATGTACATTTGAGAGAGCCTGGTTCTTGTTTTCAGAGAAGGCTGAGTAGCTCAGCAAAAGAAAAATTAAAAAGAGAAAAACGAAGGGGCAGAAGAGAAAACAAGTTAGTTGAGGCTGAGACCTTGTCATGACTCAGAATTGCAAAACATTCAACTCACTCCAGATTTTCAAATACTCCTGCTTAGACTCAGTTTATTTCCTAATTTCACTAAAGTGCTCCAGAATAGTAATAAAAATCTCTTCAGCTCTTGAAAAGCCTTTTTATTTTTCCTTCAAAAATGTTCTTTCATTTTGATCCCAAGTCTTGGCCTGTTGTATAAGATACATTGTAGTAGGAAGCTTTTAACTGGAACTTCTAGATAGATACAATCTCAGTCTCTCAAAAGCTGTGTGCTTAGAAAAATATGACTACACAGATAACAACAAATATAAAACATTCCTGCTTTCACATGCTTTAATTTCACCACTACCTTCAGTTACACAGACCTCCCAAGCTTCCCACACTGGCAGAGACTTGAGGAGAAAAGGGGCCTCGCTATTTTTGTGAGTTGGTTTAAAAAGACAATCACATATTTATTGTCATTTTTTCCAAACAGCATAGCAAAGAGTAGAAATAACGCAAGTTTCTCAGTAATTACTTGTATCAGAAGTAACAGAGTATCTCATTTAAATTTAGCTGAATTCAGGGGAAGAAGGAACTGATGATCTCAGGACTGAGAGTCAAAGTGTGTGACCTACGACCTCTTCCACAGTACACCAACAGTAGTTCAATAGTATAGGCAAGCTTAGTATTTCATATAATGATGTTATGACAATGCAAGGGGGGGAAAAATAAACAGGAAGTGGGCTGAAGCAGACAATGAAGTTCACTGGGGACCTGCACACAAATCACACAAGGGGTAGGATGAAGGGAGAAAAAAATATAACTGAGAAGAAGGAAATAACTACTTAGCAGAGAAACATAAGAAACACAAACTACTAAGAAATACTTCAAAAGATTATTAGAGATGACATCTTTCCATCCATGTCATGCTTCCTCCTTCAATGGCCGGTCTCATAAACACTGAAGAAAGCAAACAGATGTTTCCCAAAGGAACTATTGCAAAGCTAACAACAAAACTAGTAATAGGAAGCTCTTAGCTTAAAGTTCTTAGTAAAGGTATTACCTGAGTCTCTCAAAAGCTGTATGCTTACAAAACCAAAAATAAATGCAATAAAGAACCTTCATGTGCATAAGAATCAGGAATTAGCAACTACTGAACTTAGAAAGCATATTTACTAAAACAGTAAGAGGTATGAAGCACAGAGGTGTCACAGTAGATAAACAGAGAGTGACCTGGATGATTTAAAGTGAGGCAGCCTCAACCAATCCTGCAAGATGCCTACCTGAACGAAGCCTGCAGTGTTAAGAACAAAATCCTATACCTATTAGCAGTGCTCACTGAACCCTGTAACACCAGGGTTTCAATTAACGTGTCTGTTCAGTAACACAAAGCTGTGATCATAAAAGTTCAATACAATTAATATGAGAAAAAGCATCAGGTAGTGTCTGAGCAATACTAAAGCAACACTTATTTCCAGAAAAGATGAATTGAGGGAAGTTTACATGACTTTTTAATGAATAGTAGTAATATGCCTAATCACTGAGGACATCCTTTCATAGCTAAAGCTGTACACAAATTAACTATAATTAAAAAAAAAAAAGTATGCTCATTAGAATTAAATATAAAAACCTTTACCTAATGCAAAATATAGTCATCCTTTCCAATTACATAGCAGTCTGAAGGCAGAGCTAAATCCCGAGGTGAGGGGGGGGGGACCTTTAACAAATACGTAATTCTGAATAGGTCTCACCTTGCAGTTTTCCATATGCAACAAGAGAGCCACTGAAAGTCACCCCACCAATGTACGTGCCAAGATAGGCCACAATCTTAGTGAGGTTTGCAGCTGGATCAGTAGCAAAGTGAGGATACTCAATCATGTATTCTGCTACACAGGTGAGCACAGCAGCCAGACCAACCAAACTGTGGAAAGCAGCCACCAGCTGAGGCAGATCTGTGATCTGGATGCGTTTAGCGATTGTCAGACCTATGGAGAGTTGAAAACAGTTGTAACAGAAGTTACAAAACACAACCAATCTGTTCAAGTAGAAATTAATGCAGTATGGTTCAATGTGCAGTGAATACACACACACAACACTGTTCCAACTAGAAATTGCTATGGCATTGAACTGAAGGCTGCACATGTGTACATGGGGGCATCAGGAAAAACAGCAGATTACAGTATATCATGTTCTTAGAAGCACCACTAAATATTGAGAAATTTAATGATTTTTGTGAAAAAAGCACAGTGTGAAAAAGGCAATTTGAAGTATTCAGTCAGGAACTGAACAGAAGTACGAAGCTGGGCAACCTCATTCTCCTCTGGACACCCCATTTCCCTAATACAGATGATGTGTTCCTGATTTTCCACCAGTCTCCTCGTTCTTTACCACAATCTGAAGCATTAAAAAAAGCCCTGGAAGTTTTTTGTTTGTTTGTTTGTTTTTTTGTGGTTTATTTGTTTGGTTGGTTTTTGTTTTTTGGGTTTTTTTGTTCCTGTATTTGCAAAATAATATTGCACAAGCTACAAATGTAAGTTAGTCAATTCACCTGCAAGCTATACAGTATTTTATGTATAGCTTGCACAAGCTGCTATTTCAGAATTTATATTTATTCAGAATTTATATTTATATTTATTCAGAATTTATAGCTTGCACAAATGCATGCACAGAACATAGACTGCTAGCTCACAGAATCATATACATACCTATGGTACCACCAAGTGCCATTGCACCTGACATCTGTGCCAACAGTTCAGGTGAGGGATTAAGGCTTCCAAGAGTTGCTGCTAAACCTCCTGAAACACCTATCATACCCAAAGCATTGCCAAGACGAGCTGTTCCTTGAGTAGACAGACCAGCCAGGGCACCAACACAGCATAGTCCTGACCCCAGATACATCATCTTTAAAATAAGAATAACATCAATACAAAGCAGTGACAAATTGCATCACTATTAAAAATATTTCTGATTATTACATAACAGGGCTGATTTTTCCAGACTGTGTTTAAGTCACAGTTCTTAAATGAAGTCAAAACTCCTGACTGCGAAAAACTGTTGTACATGTTGTGATTTTGGCCAGTTAAAATGTGATATTGATAAAACTTTTCCCACAGTTTATGACCTTTGTTTATCTGCAGCATGAATAGAAGAGTCAAACTTAGTTTCCTCATCAGTTCAGAAGCAAGTTTTTCCCTAGTACAAATCCAAAGCTAAAAGGTCTCATTCATCACAGGAATAGTTTTAGAATTTGCTAATGGCATATTTGAACTGACAGTTCAGATAGTTTTGAACTATCTACAATAGTATAGCTAGGAGAACTAGGGCAGGGATCATTCCCCTGTACTCGGTACCAGTGAGGCCACAGCTCAAATTTCAGAAAACAGCCCAATAAATAAATGTACCTGTTGCTTTACATAGAAACAAACAGCAACAACTGTTGCAACTTTTAAAATCTGCAGATTCATCATCTGGAGTATGATTGCCAACTTAAGTTAATAAGCTTCAGACTGGCCTTGTGGAAATATGAAGCTGATGAAAAGACCTTGGATTATGTATTTACTCCTCAATAGCATGGGCATGACAATGTATTAAAGTGAACAGTGGGCTAAGAACCATAAAGTCACCTTCTCACCTGTTCAATACTATAGCCACCACTGAGAGCTGCTGCATAGCCTCCTACAAATACACCACCAGGAAGCAGGTACAAGTAGTTGTACTCAGGAGGATCTGTGGGACGTTTGAACATATCCAGCATTCTCTGTGTGACTAAAAATCCACCTGGCCAAAGTAAAGGAACAACCTTAAGAAAAATAAAATCTGAAACTAAGCATATGCCAAGATGTAAGAGAAATATGTAGTCAAACCGTATGACCACACATTTTAGCACCTGACACCAATAAAGCCTCTGAAAAGCTGATAACCTAGAAAACTACCAGGAAACAAAGGTGCGATCAGGGTTCGATCCTGTTGCCTCTTAGCCTGTGGAAGAAATTCAAAAGACGAGGAGGACTTGCTCTGGCTCTATACTCTACACGGACTATAGGATGCAACTTAGTTTATAACTGTATCCTTTTCTTTATCTAATCTAGAAAAAGCAGTATTCATAAGACACATTGCTCACTTTCCTATCTTTTTTATTATTGAAGCTGAGACTTCTGAAGCTCGAGCAAGAATTTTCCTCTATGCCACTAAGACGTATTTCAAGTAGGAAAATGAATACAAGTACAAATCCACTACCATCTTGGGATGTACAGGAAAATATATAATACAATCATCACCCAAATTTTACTGTAAAAGAAAAATGCACATTTAAATATTTCCCTAAAAAGAGGTTACTCTACAGAGTATGTCAACCAGATACAATAACTAATATGAAAATTGGAAGGGTGGTGTCTTTACATTGAACAATGTTCTCAGATCCTATTCCCAGATTTTTATTTCTGGAATCTATACAATTAAAGAGCTAAAAAAAATTATAAAATTATACAAGTGCTTGAAGTTACTCTCAGGAGAAAACCTAACATTCTTACCTGCAATATTGACTGAAGAGATAAAGGCTGAAAGCACTGCTAAACCTTGAGAAGTGTTTTCAGGGAGATAGTGTCCTCCCATCAATACCAGTCCACCAACTGCAGTTAAACCTATGTAAAAGAAAAGTGTTACTGAACCTTAAAAAGCGCTATACATTTTCAACAGTCAAACAAATATCAGCCAACTCAAATTTTGACCCCTACTCTACACATTACTTTTCGAAGAAAGACTATCATGGTTTTTTTCAGCAATACAAACACGTTCTGAGAGAAAAGAAAAGAGTGTATGAATGCAGTTTTAAAGAACAGTGCCTTAAGCAGAGTTAGCCTAGAAGTGCTTTTTCAATAAAAGAAATTTTGCTTTTAACAACCAAAGTAAATTAGATTTGTGACCTGCCACACTCAGATATATAAAATCCTACCTATTATGAGTTATGAGTCTTACTGCTAATTCAGGAATTTTTTCTTTTTCCCTGTCTCTCAAAACACATAGTTACAGGTTAAGAAAAAGAGAATGCAAAAAATATGAGAGACAAGTTATTTTCAGGGCGATGTTCTGCAGAGATGGGCGGAATGATGTGTTCTATGAAAGCAGACTGCAGCACTCCAAGTAAAACAAACTTTAACACAAACAGGACATGAGTAAAAAATTACTTATGAAAATTAAAACTACACAGTAGCACATTTGCCCTTCTTTTGAAAAGTCATACTCTCAGAAAGACTATGTTTCAGGTGACCTTGCTATTTATGAAAGTAAACTTAATTAAGAAGTACACTCAGCAGCATCCCGAATGGCCAAGCAGCCTCTTTCAAGGAGAGCACTGCTTGCTCCACACGGAGAGGGGCCTAGAAAAGGTGGCCTAACCAAAGCTCATCTCCACCCTTCACCTGGTTGGTTAACCGCGGCCAACGGGCATCTTCTGTTGCGGTATCTCACATTGGCCTTTTTAGCCATCAGCACGCTTGTAGCAAGCGTGGGTAGAGCCCTTCTCAAATCTTCGTTCGTGAAGCCTAGCCATGGTGATGATGATGATGATGACAAGGCTCTTTGGTATTCATAAAAGGCCTATCAGCAGACTTTTGTCTAAAGTTCAAGTAAAAGGAGCTGTACTATATCAAACAGAAAATAAGCAGCTGTGTGACAGCTACTCACCTGAGATGGCATTAGTCACCGACATGAGTGGAGAGTGCAGAGCAGGAGTCACACCCCACACTGTGTGGTACCCCACTATTCCAGCCAGGCCAAATGTTGTCACCATCTGAGTGAAAGCAGCATTTGGTGCTACAATGCCCAGTCCTAACATACCAGCTAAACCTAGGAGAAAATCACATGAAAACTCTGTAACTTTTCAATGATTCCTTACATTTAAACTGTATACAACAGGAGTCCAATAGTGACATAAAAGCAAAATGGAGTTCTGTGCACGGATTTGTTTCAAGATCGGGTGGATCACTTTCTTGAAACACAAAGTTCTTTCAGTGCTACTGTTTCTTTTATGATAGAAAACAAACCCATAAACAGATTTCACATCTCTTTGTTATGCATGCACAAACCACAGCAAAGATACATTTCTACACAAACACTAAATCCCGTCCTGTCCTGTTGTATAGAAAAAATGTAGAAGAGTCACAATCATATTGAGATACTACTTGGAACATATCAAAGCATATGCATGAAAAACGGAGATTAAAATTAAGAATACTCAATTCATTAATTACCTCACATTGAAGTTCTGATGCACTGAGAATACAAAATTACACAGAGACCAACAGTCCTATTCCTAGTATTTCAGTAGACTGTGAGCATTTAAGTCTCACCCAATACAGTAAAATTTGAAGAAAGCAATGGTATTGAACTGATTCTGCTGCAAAGTATTGGCAGAGTCCCTGGCAGGAGTCCTTCAGAACTTGAAGCATTTTACCGATATTTAAATAGAGCCAAACATCCATAAATGCACACCACATGAGTCAGCACTTGTTGAAATGTTAATATTTCTGGTTAAATTTCTACAGTTTCGGTTTCCCTCTTAAAAGCAATTATTACACTATACTGATTTTGCACTGGGATACACCAGACAATCAGCTGCACTACCAAATAGTTATTAAATTGAATGTGTTAAATTATGAGTCACTTTAGAAGTATTAGCCAAATGAGTTCTCCAGCTCTGGAAGTTGCCTACCTGCTGTGTACATAGCTGCACTAGTCATAGTCTTTCTGAAAGGTGTAATAGTAGCTGCTTTTTCCGCTTCCAGCTCTGCTACAGTCTTCTGCTTCACAGGTGCTCCTTGAGGAATATTATTTGGTGGAGGTGCTGGGAAAATGACCTTGCCATCCTGACAAGAAATATTTACAGTTATGCCTAACATGGCAGACACTTTGTAGTTAGAGAAGTCTTTTCTTCTTAATACTACAAAGTTCAGGTTAAGTTCTAACATATCCTACAGCCATACCACACTAATTTCTTCCTTTTCTGCATCAGTACAAGTCTACAAAATCTGCTACAGTCTGAATAGAATCAGAGCCTATCCAGACCAAGCATAATGTCTCATATTTTTTGCTGTTCTCCAGGTATACAGAGAGGGAACTGTGGAGCTGTCAGTCTCAAGTTGTGCACACCACAACAGTGGTCTGGGAGAGCTGAAGTCAGTGCAAGTCTCCTCCAGAGTAGCTATCATAAAGTATTGGCCACATTATGCACCAAAACTCAACTGAAATTAATACCTCTTACCTAAATTGGTTGATTCCCTGAGTTTGTATTTTATTATTTCCTAATAAAACTTAAAATATCCTGCATATCCTAGTTTCACCAATTTTTTCTGAAGTTACTCTTACTATAAAAGAAAAATGTATTTAAAAAAATAAATAAAAAATAAAGGAAGAATGTTTTTCTATTCCTGTAGAAAAGTCTCAGATATGTTTTAAATATTATGCTTTTATCACATGAATACAATAAACTTTATCTTTTTGCTATTTTTCAACAGTAGACAAATTAGGTATTTGTTTAATCTTAACAAGAAGATAAGGCAAAGAGGTTTCCCACAACAAAAAGGGACAGAGGAATGCTCAGCTGAATAAATACAAAATTATACACGCTCACACTCTAATCAAACCACCTCTGAAATCTGTTGACATGCAGTATGTTCAAATGCATTTAGAAGAGACAGCAGTGATAAAGGTTAAAGATGTACTTACAAATTAAGAGGAGAATATTTACTGACTTACCTTCATTACTACAGTTCCCCTAATAACATGATCCAGAGTCCCATAATCAAATTCATCTTTCGGATCAAAGTAGAAGTTCTCTTTGTCAGGACTAATAGCCTTTAGAAGTTTGATAATATTATTGGAATACAGGGTACTGGCCTGAGTAGCCATCCTGCTAGGCAGATCTGTGTAGCCAATGTGTGTAACACCCTGAAAAAAAATCCAAGTAAAATAAAAAAGATCTGTGCAATTTCTGAAAGAGCATCATCTTTTCCACTATACCCTTCTGGAAATACATATTGCAACTCTTGCACTTATTTACGCTTATAACCCCACCTAAAACTGCTACCTGCAGTTCTGACATTATTAAGTCAGGGGAGGATTACTCACAACACTTACAGAATCCAACATGATTCTGTACACCAACACCTTAAACAGTATTAGCAACAGGTTCTTCCAACACAAAGAGGAAGGCACATTAGTGAAGGGCTTGTCTTCTCCTATAATCCTACCATGCTCTCAGAACTTAACTTCTTTAAGCAATCAGGTAACAGATTATCCTGCCTAATGCTTGGTATTTTCTCTGTTTTTCTGAAAGGCAAGCACAGAAGCCAACTTTCTATATGCCAGCAGAGTGAAGACAGCTTTCTCAGAACTAGCCAGCTCTGCCAGTAATATGTCTGAGTTCCTATGTATGTAAAAGTGTAACATTATATATCCTCATTGTTTAAAGAACAAATGCGAGTGCACCTGGCTCTCAGGCTTCAGGGAGGAAGGGGCAGCTGAGGCTGGCATACACTCCTAAGTGTTCAGGTAGGCTTGTGTTAGAACACTGCTCCCACAACTTACAGTTAAGACCCATGCAAGCTTCCAGAACTCTGCCTTCTTAATGCAGTGCTCTGGCACAATCCTAATACTTCTGCATTGCTGCCATTTTCCATAGCACAGTGCCATTACACTAAATCCAGGGGTAATACATCCCTGACTAAAAGCACGCTATATAAACTCTTCATGGAAGTATGTGCTTACTTGTCATCTATGTTCTCTAGTTTCAGGTTATAACCAATGACATCAAAAGCCCTAGAAAGGCACAAAGCCAAATACAACACGTGAGTCTTTGATATATACACACACACAGAGCCTTGCTTTTGTTCATGACAACCATGGCAGCAACGTCCTACAGGCTTCAAAAATAACAGCATTATGTCCTTGCAATACCAAACAACAACCTTGGAAATCTGCTACCAGATTTTTATAATTGCTAGTAGATTTCTCATAAGTACCAAAAATAAAACCCAAAAAGCAGAAAAACAAGTTCTCAACCGAACCAGTAAACACCGGAACAAAACCAAAGTAGTTCAGTGCAGGGCCAAACTGCTTCCTTTCATTAATCAATTTATAGTACACCTAGTTTGGGTTACAAGTGCTTTGGATACTCTACAGGAGACACACATTCTTGAAGCTTAAGACATACAAAGCCAGCACCCTTCTGAAGCTGAAATTGTACTGAACTAAGCCAGACTTCATACTGAAGTAAACACCAACATAGTCTAAACCTGCTTGGCTTACCTATGGCAGGGATTGTCAACCTTCAGTCGTGGGAGATGATAAGCAAGTCAAAGAACCTATTCCTATTATTGTCTCTTTTAGGTCAAACCACACCTTCAACTCATCAGAGACAAACTACTGGACTTGGAAGTCTAAGTACCTAGAATTCCATAACATCCATTAACAAGCAAATTAACACAATATAAAGATATTTGTTTCTTTTAAATATTCAAATTCATATACATGTTATAGTGACCGAATGCAAATATAAAGAATTCCTTCAGCCCAGAACAGCAAAATCAGCTGCTCCTTTTCAGGATAAAGTTTACAAAACACAATGTGAGTTCAGGTAAACTGAGAAAGAGCTGCGGATTAAAATGCTTACCTTATGAACATACATTTCTCCAGGCTTTGTAGTCTCAATATTTCCCCCTGCTTCTGCAGCTAAATCCACAACAACGGAACCCTCCTTCATTGATTCAATCATGTCTTTCTTAAACAAGATAGGAGCTTTTTTACCTGAGAAGATAAAGTACAGCAAGTTAAAGACAAAATACAGCTTTGTATCTCTTGAGCTCAGGAGATTACTTCTCCCTTCTCCCTATATTATTTTTGTAAGCAAAATTTTCAAGTAATTGGTAGCTAGGATAAAGTATCACAGAAAGTTTGTTAAGACAGTGAGAAGAGATGTTAGAATATCCTGCTCCAAAGTATATAAAAAAGTTATGTATGGGCAGTCTACCAAAGATGCTAGCAAGTCCAATTTTGATAACATCTAATCTTACAATTCAAGTCATAATCAAAAAAAGCCTCATCATAAGTTATTGAAATAGAGACACTGCGCAATGCAAAGCACTGAATTCTAAGCTCTACCTTACTACATTTCAATTGCAAAGATAGCACCATTTCAATCAGTCTTGTTCTAGTGCAGAAATTGTAGAGCAGAAGTAGCAGTGATACAGAAGGTACGCAAGAGAATTATATATTCTTACTTTATTACTATCTACTCCTTGTTTAACAAGAAAAACATGATGGTATTGAGCCAAAGACTGAAACTTTACAAAAACAAAAGTTTTTAAAAGAGGTACACACTTTAAAACTGGGAATTTATCACAGAAGGGTGAAAGTTAATGCTCACATAGATAAAATTCATTAACCTGCACTGCAGGTGCAGCTCCAAAATATGCCAACTTACTGACTTAGATAAATAAAAATTAGCATTTTACACATAAAACATACCTGGAATAAGTGCTGTAGTGATGATAATATCAACATCTTGGCACTGCTTGGCAAAAAGTTTCATTTCAGCTTCAATAAATTCTTTTGACATCTCTTTAGCATAACCACCTTGTCCCTCTCCAGATTCCTTTAAGTCTACTTCCAAAGGCTCAGCACCAAGAGACTTGAACTGTTCCAAAGCTGCAGCTCTAGAAAAAGAAAATTGTAGAAGAGGAAGCCACTACTTTAAAAATACACCATGACTTTACCAGTGTTTTTAGTAGCAGTCTTCAGAGAAGATATATAACTTATTCCAGGATCGAGGAGACTACAACTAAAGTCCTCAACTTTCTGTATTTAGTGAAAAAAGTAATTGCATCACTAAATTTAGGTTCCAGACAAGAAATGAAGGCAGCCTACAGTTTCCTGTACAGTCAGCAGAATTGCTCCAAGAAAAGCCTCAAAGCGGAGCGTTTAACTGATGAGTAGCTCTGCACACGTATTCCTCTTGCCATGACCAGGTAAATCCACAGCCCAAACTTAGGTGTCTAAGATGGGTGATAAATATACAACCTGTGGTGCTGTCTTTAAACTGTGAAATGGGAAGTACGTCTATTAAGTCTTATTTTCACAGGGAAAATTGCTGGGGTGGACGTGTTTGGAGTTGGATTTTTTAACAGTTATTCTGTAATTTATTTTGCATCCCATGACATCATAGTATATATTCAGAATAAATATCAGTGTTAGGCAACACACAGAGGACTTGACAGAAACATTCTTGCATCTCAAGATAAAAGTATATAGGGTTCTCAAGTAGGGAAATTAAAAGATCTGAAAAGTTTTAGAGTGATTTTGGCCATGCTTCTATGAAAATAACCTCTTTCCAGTTTCATTTAAGGCATATGTAGATTTTCTAAGAAACAACAGTGTTTTTCTCAAACTGCACATCATAAATCCTAATTTTCATTCTTTCAAATTAGATACAGTTAAGTAGCATTAGATGCCACTTCTACATAAAGCATAAGTACATAATTTTAGTGTGAATACTGTATTAAGTATGTAAAAATTTGATACAAGACTGTTTAATAGAAAAGAACTAATGAAGTTGTAGCTATAAGAAAAATATTTTTGCTCTCTAATTTTCCTTGTCTATTGCTCTACAAAATGGCAGTACAATTTCAGTGCAATACAGCCACAAACAACTTAAAAGTAATTTCAGATTGTTATTACTATTTTCACACATCTACCTAGTATCAAATCCACGAACCACTGCACCCATAGATTTTGCTGCTCCTGCAGAAGCTAGGCCAGCAACTCCTCCTCCAATGATCAAAACCTAGAATGATAAATCTCATTAAGCAGCCATTTAAATAAGGTACCTTAAGACACAGAAAACAAAATTACTTTGGCAAAACTGTTCCATAAACTAACAGTTTAAAAGCTGTAACTCCTAATTTCGCATATCTAAGAGCCAACTCATCTGTGCTTAACAGTTTATGTAAGTAAGTAGCAGTATTCTCCTTGATTTATCTTCCTTTTTTTTATTCCCTTCTCTAATTCTACTTGCATTTCTCTTCAACCCAGTATCAGTTAAACCTTTCCACTGCACCTTTCGATGTCCCAGAAATCCCAGTATCTCTGACTTTTCTTAACTGTTTTCTTTCCTTTCCCCATTTTGAAAAAAAAAAAAAAATCCACCTACTAGCTAATCTGATGTTTAAAACTAAGCAAACTTAAAATAAAACTCAAACTGTTCTATTATTCCCAAAACAAGTTAACTACAGATGTGAACAAAAACTGGTGTGAGATTAACTATAGCAGTTTCTAAAGTCTCTGGAACTAACCTCAAAGCAGAAAAAAAAAAACCAGTTTCAGCAATGGTTACCTAAAATCAGGAACTCTCATTCTTTTGCCATGTGTTTAATTGCACATACCTTTGCTGGAGGAACTTTACCAGCAGCTGTGATTTGACCAGTGAAAAATCGACCAAAGTGATTTGCTGCCAGTACCACAGCCTTGTAACTGTCAATTAAGGATGAACACATATCAGTATTTTCCCAAGGTTCGGTAAAATTCCATTCATGACATCAATCAAAAGGATAAACATTTGACCATAGCATGTGTAGGATAAAGCAATCTTAATATTTTACTACTGAGCACAAGTTTAATAGTCTTTGTTCATATTTCTTGCCCCTTTTTCTTTTTTTTATATCATTGAATGCATTTTCAGACATAATTTTTGGATGGCAGTATACTGGATGTCTGTAATTATTCACTCTTTCAAGTAAAATTTTACCTGAAAAATGCATGCCTAACTTGCCAAAAGTTAACTCTGGTCTTTGTAACTACCTTCAAAGGCTGTAACCTGAGGCCTGTTACAGAGGGAAACACAAACAAGTAATTGCAAAACCCTGAGTAACTCTGCAGTAAGCTCACTCAGAGTAAGCACACATTCAGAAAAGGTACTCTAATGCTAACTTTTGCAGAGCTGTATGACCTAGGACAAACAGCTTAACCTTGTTATTTCATTTGCCCTATCCAAGAATGGGTGGTTGGACACCAAGTTAACACCAGAACAGCTATCTGAAAATTAACATTAATATGGAAATGTCTTTTCTTAATAACAGTGCACATTTTCTTGCACTTTTACAACAGTGTTATGGTTCAACAGCCCTGTTCCACTTTTTTTTCCTGCTTATAGAATAGGCATATGGAGGTCTGTATGCCACCAAATTAGTTCACCTTTGGAATACAGCTTGCAGATTTTATACCTTTAAATACATTATGAATGTCTGTATTTTAGTAAAAATAAAACCAAATGAAAACTGAGAGAAGTAACTAAACATGTATGTGGATGTATACTGCTTGTGTGCACAAAATCTGGAAGCCTTCTCAAAGGCTTATTATGCCTCACAGACATCATCTAAGTCAAAAAAAAAAAAAAAAAAAAAAAAAAAAAAAAAAAAAAAAAAAAAAAAAAAAAAAAAAAAAAAAAAAAAAAAAAAAAAAAGAACCAAATAACCAGCTTGACATTTTAAATCACTGCAGTACCTAAATGCTAGTAGCAAAGCATGAAGATACGGGACAGTATTTGATCTTTTGTTTGTATCTGCCATGGCAACTGCGTTCATACTGAGTGTTTGGGTTAGTTAGCTCCTCTCAACACCAAATCCTACATACAGAGGATCCTACCAACCTGTGCTCAGGATGACTTAATGATATTTTAACTGCTGTGACTCAGTTCAGATCAAAAGGCACTAGACAAAAGTAGGGGAATTCGAATTGCCTCCAGTTTGTTTATTTTTTTTTTAACCCTGGTTCTGATTTGTTGCCAAGCTGACCATAAGAAACTTTTGTAGTTTGGCACCTCCAACAGCACCATCCTCCTTGAAACTGCTGCATGAAAATAGAGATGCAGAATTGTTTTAGATATACCTAAAATCAAAGCACATGATTTTTAATCCAGCTATACTTAGTGAAGCTGAAAAAGAAAAATCATACCCAGCAATGTTGGCCATGGAGCTAAGTGCATCATATCCCTGAGCAATGGTGACCCGTGGAACCTGATCCATAGCCAAGACAGTAGCTTTTTTTTCTGCTAGTTTTTTCAGGAGGTCTGGATTTTGTGCTGGGTAGATAAAACTAATCAGGGTCGCCGCCATCTTAAAAAGATCTGCCTCATGTACACCTAGAGCCGAGTTGTATACAGGAGCCCTCACCTGAAGAAAGACAGAAGTTTCCAAGTCAGTCAGAGGAAAGAAACCAGAACACACTCCACTGCCTTTCTCCCAGCTTGCAGTCTGTCCATTCCCATCCATGAAGTACAGAAGGAAGCAAGTATATCAAAGGCTGTTTCTCCAACTGAACTGAGTAACTGCCCTTCTTAATTGCAGGGCACATGCTGGAATTAGTTCTAGGTGGATTGGTGACAGGGCAGTAATTGTCACCTTCAGAAAGATCTGACGGCTTTTAACCAGCAGCCACTGCCTTTTTTAACAGACAGTTATCCTCAAAGCCACCATTTTTAAGCAAAATGGTTACTCAATAGATATGATAATTAAGCTCTAAAAGCTAAGAATAACTAATTAGGTGGCAATGCATGACTATATACAGGGAATTTCAAGCCAGATGTCCAGCAGATAGTCATCTCCACCTACCTTCACTTAAGTTTCTCATTTTTCTTCAAAGAGAAACCTCCTTAAAAGGGTTGTTCACAAAGCAGCTCACAGAAATTCTGCTTTCAGTCCTGATGTGTAACTTCAAACAGAGCAACTACAGGAAGCCTCAACATTAAATTTAAGGTCTTTTTGTTTTTTTCCTTCAGGACTCTGCAAAACCTAAAACCTCTCAAATAACTTCACTTTTAGCAGTTTTCCCAAATTAGCCATAACTCACATAGTAACAAATACTTTTGATACACACTGAGTTTTGGAACTGAAGAAGTCAGAAACTTGTATCTTCAGAATTCCAAGCAACTACCTAAAGAGTAACTTGAGTTATGTGTTACTAAATTTGGAGGAAAGGTTTCTTAGAGCAGGGATTTCACCTGATTAGAGTCTGCTTTAGAGAACTTCATTCTAGAAAACACAAGTACAAAGTAGTTAAAAATCTGCTAAGAAATTATCCCAAATTTCTTCAACACTATCATATGCTAGTTTTTTTAATGCAGGTGCAACACCTGAGCTATTAAAAAAAAAAAAAAAAAAACCACCAAAACTGAATCAGAACTCAGAACAGAAAATATTAAAGGACCTTACTTACTGAACTTTCAGCAGACTATTTCAAAGAAATGACCTATAGGTTTCTCCTAAAATAATGTAATAGGAAATGCATTAATAAAGCAATTACTTTCACAATCAAATCCGAAGCCAGGACTTCCTTGGTCCCCTGGATCTTTGCTCCAGCTTCTCTGTATTGGTCATCAGAAAATTTGGAAGCTTCTCCAGCACCAGATTCCACCACAACATTGAAGCCTTGTTTAACCAAGGCTTGAACTCCAGCTGGTGATAGAGCCACTCTCTTCTCACTCTCAAATATCTCCTTGGGGACACCAACTGTCAGCTGTTTATATGGAATTCCTGTAAGAGTGACAGATAAGACAAAATTAGCTGTACTAAAGACTAACTAACTGATATTAAGGGCACTCTTCAATGTTGTACAGACACATGCAGACATGTCACACTTAGCAATTCTCCCTCCTAAAGAAAGAGGAAGCAGAATGCTATTTTCTAGGAACGCAGTTCACATTTTCTTAAATTGCACCATCTTCCTAGAGATATTTGTTCTCTCAGCAAACCAGCAGGTCAGCACAATCAGCCACACAAGCAGCAACAAGTGTTTGATGCAGTTCATACTCATCAGAGTTTACACAGTTCTCATTGTGTAACAGGCATTTGGATTTACACAATACCTGGTGTTCTGGTGATAACACATTCTACCTCAGGCGAGGATTTAAATCCCTCTCTAGCCACTTCCACTTTATTGTGAAGAAATAAATAAATGAGATTGAACAGTGAAAATAGATCTTAACTGAACATGTTTTTAGTGTCTATCAAATTACAGTTGTCTTAAATGACTATTAATGAATGTAACATACATAACACAAAGTACATTGAGAGGCACAACTACATCAATGAGGTACTCTAAAAGTCGCCACAGAAACAGAAAAATGTGAATTCAGAAGTAGTTGAAGAATAATGGAATATCCATCTACTATCTTCTTCAACAGAACTTCTCTTCAATATTATCTCCTTGTCTTAACCTGTTCAAAGCTCCACTAAGTAACACCACGAAAACTGCTGAAGCCAAAATTTATCAATTTTAGCTGATGTTTTCAAATGACATCTAACATTTAACTTTGTTTATGTACAATTTGTGGGCTTCCAATCTAATATCTAGGAGTTAAATTTCTCTGATCCAAACAAGTGTTTAAATGCATTATTTATAAATCCACAGGCTCAAGCAGAGTACCCATATATCAAACTACCGCACTACTTCAATTGTACCAACAGCATGCAGCGCAACACAGGCCCAATCCTGTATCAGCTTTCACTGATATCTATCCAAAATTTAAACCTGGATTGTGACATGACTATGCAAGACATTTATACCACATATGTATTAATGAAATATAACTTGAGCTGTCTAAGCAGTCACTCATATTAATGATCAAGCAACAACAACAACAACAACAAAACCTACCAAACAAAAAACTTTAAACCAAAAAAAAGGGAGAAGGTGGATGAAAAGCTTGTTTTAAATTACAAAGCTGCTTTTAAATTGTCCATGTATGTATTGTGCTATAAAAATTTGTACCAGACAAGGAGTATTTCAGGAAGGCCTCCTTTTCACTTTTAGACAGAAACAAGAAAAACAAAGCCAAAAACATACTTCAAAATAAGAACTTTGAGGAACTTGGTTTAGATTTAAAAATATTAAAATAAATTATCCATTATATAAAACTTGGACTATATAGTGCTTAAAGTTGAAAATATGAAAATATTTTAATTAAAACTTTCAAGATACCATTAGCTTATAATGTTCTGAAAATATGGTACAGAATTGCTAAGAACTCATACTTGAGTACCTACCTACACTTCTCAGTCTACTAACTCATTTAAAAAAAAAAAAATGAACACATCAACAAGAAGACAAAATGAAAAATCACCAGACAAAGAAGGGAATTATTTCTAAGTACTGTGCCAAGGGTGGTTTTGTTGAGCCAGGGGAGGTGCAGGCTGGACATCAGGAAGAATTTCTTCACTGAAAGGTTGGTTAAGTGTTGGAATGGGCTGCCCAGGGATGTGGTTGGGTCACCATCCCTGGAAGTGTTCAAGCAATGACGGGACGTGGCACTCAGTGCTATCGTTTAGCTAAAAGGTGGTGTTTGTTCAAAGGTTGGACTCAATCCCGGAGGTCTTTACCAACCTTAATGACTCTATGATTCTAGTTACTTTTACTTTTTTTTTTTTTAATTTAACTTTGTCTTTTAAATTTAACTAAAAAATTAGTGACAAACAGCTTGAAGACAGAAGCGTTTTGATGTTTTATATGTTGGAGAACATTTAAAACGTTTCAATTACAAGACAAAAATTAAATTCAGAAAAACATACATTAAAAGAACATAAGTCATTACTGGAGCGAGAATGCACATCTAAAACAACAGATCCACAAAAGTAACAGTGCTTTGCAATTATTTGCTTCATCAGCAGACACCACATCTAAACATAACCGTGCAGCTCAGGCCATACCTACCACAGCAGCACTAACCACTTGTCAGCTATGGAAACTGCTGCTGTCACTCAAATTACCCTTTGTCATTTGAAGGCACCTTTCTCCTCATCTCTTCTAATTACTACGCAATAAAGTCCTGCTTCTGATTTTCACTAAATCATCTCGGTGGAAATGAACTCTCTTGTCTTTCAGAAGCAGGAATGAAACCTAGAAGATTGAAATTTATTAGGATAGCATAGACCAATTGTAATTTCAGAAAGGAAGTAGTTGTACGGTAGCATAAAAGGCAAAAAAGTTTTTCAAGAAGCACTGAGAAATATTAAGAACTAGAGTTCTATCTTCCCTTTCTCCTTTCAGAAGTTTCTGTAGCACAGAAGTGCTGAGAGGGAGAATGAGGGGCTGATGGGGGAAAGGAAAGAGGGGAGGAGGTGGGGAAGACAGGAAAGACTTAGGGCTGGGCGAAAAGGGGTGGATGGGAGAAAAGCAATAAATTACAGTATACAGGGAATAGAAAGATGACTGCAAATTTAAACACAGACATGACTAAAGCTTTTATTTTTCCCAAGCAAAAGAATTAATCTTTTTTAAGGCTCAAATGACAATAGATACTTCTGATTTCTTTTTGTTCACTTGTTTTTGTGTGGAGTACCAGAACAGAAGAGTAAATGGCTAGAAGGCACAGGACAGGAATATGCACTCACTAGACACCAAACGTGTTTCCTCATTTCTCACTTCCTTCTTTCACATTGTTACATCTTGCACGAAATAAAAATAAGTACAACTTTTTCAGACAGAAAGAATTAGCACCTTATTTAGTAAGCGGAATAATCAGAGACCAATATTGAGAACTATTCCCTCCTCCAACACTTTGGGAAGATCAAACATACAAGTCTCATTTGCCTCTCCCCTTCTTTTCTCCTCTGTCCCACTACCAAACTTAAAGCAAACAATTAATACAGAAGAAAATGAATACATAAGCAAACAGATGTCAGTTTGTCAGCCTCCTAGAGCAGGCATAGGACATTTTTCAAATAGATTACCCTGAGCTTTCACATCATTCATCACCAAAACGGAGCAGATGTTTACAAGTAAAAAAGATCCATGATAAAACTTCAGACAAGGTTTTGGGAGAAAAGGGTTAAAAAGCCAAAGACTGGCAAGGGGACTGTAAATTGCTCAAGTGACCTTGCAGCTGGAAATAACTCTCGGTAAGGCCGGTGTGAACAGCAGGCTGGTGATGATTTACTGGCGCCTGTGCCTCCACTTGTGTTTCTCCGCCACAACTTTGTGGCTGTCCCAGCTGCCTCTCTGTGATGACACATACAACAGGGTATGATGAATAACATGTTTGGGAGAAGCTATACAATGAACAGAGATTTTATTTGTTGTGCTCAGCAATTTCATTAAAGTCACTAGTTTTGAAAGGTTGAAATCTAGGATCATAGACTTAGGATCTTGATTTAAGTTTTTATTGGAGGAAGCGCATCTGCTATCCTTGCCATAGGTTCAAAATTGCATGAGACTGTGAAGCTTCCAAGTTGTCTTTCTAATCCTTCATGTCAGATAAACTCTCTATTAACAGCTTTCAGTATGTTTTAGTGTCTTACTGCTTTATAGCATCAAGAACATTCTCCACATACTGATTGATATACACATACCTGGAGCACCTCTTTGAGTCACATTAAGATTTTTAAGAAATTGGTCATGGTCATAGGAGATACACACTACTTTTTTGACACAAAAAAATCAAAACCAATGTAATTATGCCACTATCAGAAGTAGAATCATTCACAGGCCTTAGAAAGGAATATACACTTCAATGAAATGCTGAGTTATGCTTTATACATAGACTTGAATTTAAAAAAACTACTAAGAAGACACTATTTCTCATCTCCTTACCATAATCTTGACTGTGTACTGAAGACAAATATGTCCTTACTTCAAGTAAATAAAACTATGAAAGTGATCTTCTCCATGTAACTTCCATCTACAAGAATACTAAAGAAGATTCTAAGCTAAAACTATAGCAAAAAAATACAGTTTTTTAACCTCCTTAACACAATTTTGGGAAGCAGCTTGCAGCAAAATAGTATCAACAAATACTAGAGGATGACTTAGAGAAAAGGAGAAGTTTTGACTATAAGCCACATGTTCTGGGATGGGAGAAGAGGATAGGTAACCCGCCTATTTTTTATGTTACTCTAATAACCTTTAAACAAACCATCTCACCTGTTCTGAAGATGAGGACATATTCCGAAGAACACCAATATGATGTTGGCAAAAGGAGAAAAAAAATGATACAAAAGATTAAACAAACACCTGGTCCCTCCTCTTACAGAAGCAAGGAATTACAAATTGCCTCTGTTTCTGAAGCATCTGGTACTAGTGACTATTTGAGACAGGTTACAGAAATACGTGTTTACTCCCATATGAAAATTCCTATGTTTCTAATAAAAAAGTAGCAGCAAAATAAATAGCAGTAAGAAAGTTATCCATCCTCTAAGTTTACTTTTCAGATGACTCCAAATCACATCCAAGCAGCTGTTACTCTTGTACATAACACAGTCTGGATGGAATGAAACCTAATCTGAGAGAAGGAAAGCAATAACTACAGGCTTGAGAAGAATTACCGAGACACTAATCTTTTCAGAAAACTTAGAGTTACAGTGATTTTACCAAGTATTACTACAATTAAAGATAATTTATGAAAGAATAAAATGTAGTTATTTTGTATGCTATTGCATTTTGATTCTAGAGCACTTAAAACGTAAATATAAGCCATAGTACTGCTACTACTATGTCATTCAATTACTGTTTCATCCTTGATTTGTCCTCTACTGAATAACAAATCACATGTTGCCAAAATGAACTATGAGGACAGCTTAATTATCAACCAAAAGACTACCAAACTTGTAATTCTCCATATTAAACAACTGCATTTCATGAATACTACTAATCCTTAAATAAGGGCTTCCACACAACAGATATGAAGGGGTAGCCCTGAAAGTTAAACACATGACACTAATTAGAATTCTCCACCCTTCTAGAAAAATTTTTCAACCGTGATTCTTAAAAACAAGAAAATGCATACACATAGTAGCACTCAATTTCAGTAAAACTGAAGAGATTCTTCAGTTTCATGATCAAATTTGTGGTCAAAATCAAATAAAAAGATTGATTCCAAACTCAAACGACAACAAGGACACTTACCTGGGACATTCGAGAAAGAACTTTGAACCCAGTTTCCTAAGTGTCAGTTTACACTCCCAACCAAAGGAGAATCTGCCATGCCAAAACTGACAGATGCCTCTTTCATTCAGATATTTAATACAGAAAAAAAAAAAAAAATCGGAGCATCACAAATCTATCAGAGCAAATAAATTCAGATTTCACCATGCCACTATGGTAAAAGGTCACATGACACAGATTATCAGGAGCCCTCAGAGTAAAGAAACTTCCTCTCCTGACATTTCTTCAGAAGTTCCAAAGTCTTCAGTCACCAAGTTGAAAGGACCACAGAATGCACCACTTAATGTCAGTATTGCCCGAAGTTCTACGCATCACAGGCTTCTCAGTTATACATGCTAATTTTGTGTCCCATGTTTTCACAGCCAGACACTTCTGCTCCCAAACAGCACTACTTTTCTAATTCTCTGAAGTATCTAATGCAGTTACCTACTGTCTACATTTGAAAAAACAAGCATGATGTATGCAATTAGTCCAACTCTTCACATTAATCAGTTGCAGGCTAAGATCCTACACCTGCACTGAAGCAGGGTCTCTAAATTCCAAGGGAAGCATGACCCATGCAGGACTAAGGGGCAAAAACAGCATTAAACCAGCGTTATGTATTCTCCAGTCCTCCAACTGTAAGGCTATGCACAGCATAGAACAGAGGAAAAAACGGCAGTTCTGATGTTCGTACACCAGGCTCATATGAGAAACTGAAAACTAGGATGGCCCCTTTCACACTTCTTTTTCCATTGAAAATACCCGAACTGGTCCATTATCTGCTAAAATGGAAGTAATGTACATATACTCACAAACCCTGCACATTATGATGCAGATCAAAAGTTTTTCAGAGTGGTACACTGTAAGAGTTTCCTGAACAAACTTAACAGATTTTTTTGGATGGGCTAATTATATCTACATATAGTCCTGCTTGCAAGATGATCTCTTTGGGAGGTCTGTATTTTTTCTCACGTGCACACAAAAAGCTGCACCAGCAAAACTCCTGGGGAACTCGAGGCTTTTAACTAAGAGAAGCATTTGTTTAAATATTTCTCTCAAGCAAGGTAAGCGTTAACAGGAGCTTGGACCTCCTAGCAATAAAAACTACTCGGATCCAAAGTACTTTTAATAAACACAAACACGTTCTATGTAAGCCCTATAAAGCCAGTCTAAAAATGTGCTGCAACTGATTCAAGTATGCTGCTGACATGATTTCTATTTTAAGTCTTTTCTGTACTAATGCAGATCTGAAAGAAAAAAAAAAAAAAAGAAGAAACAATTTATATTCGTGTTTTAAAATAAAAGATTATTTACAATAGTTTAATCAGTTTACCTGGCTTTGGAGCTGCCTGAGACCTGAGCATCTGCTGGGTTCTAAACGTGCGCAGACACATCCTCGCAGAACGCGCCTTTGGTGGTAACACATTGCCAAAAACAGGAGCTGAGCACTTATTGACAGCAACGCGCAGGAGGCTCGCCATTGCTCCCAAACCTCACAGCAAATTCCTTGCCACGTATGGAATCCCTGCGGCACACGCAAAAACAAGGCAAAAGCTATTAATGGCCCTGGACAGAAGGTATGTAAACGCAGCAGATTTAAGGCCAGCTGGCTTGCCAATAGCCGCGACACAATCATTTCTTCCCACCTTTATCTTTCTGGCTAGAAAACAAAATCAACTTTTTTTAAGACACCTATCAGATCAAGGTAACTGGCCTGGAGATCGCATTTCTGTGACTCCGGGCTGTTTCGTCTTTCAACGTTACCCCAAAAGAGGAACTGTGACACGTGAAAACCCGCCGCGCCCCAAGGAACCAAACAAACGCCTCCAATCCCTGCCAGAGCTCCCGCAGGGAGGGACACGGCGGGCGGGACAGCACGGCACACACTCCGGGAGGACACGCCGGGCAGAGGGGCCAGGAAAGTGCTTCTCGCCCGGAGCCTCGCCGAGCGCCCGCGGAGCGGCCCCTTCCCGCTATTTATAGTCCGCGGCCACCGAGTGACCTTCGGCGGGCGGCTCGTCCCCTGCCGCGCACCGTGCCCTTGCCCGCGGCGCCGCCCGCAGCAGACATATCCCGCTTCCCGCCCGCCAGCGCTCCCGGGGGCCCCTTCCCGCGCCACCTGCCTTCTCCGCGCGTCCTCCCTCCCTTCCTCTCTCCCTTCCTTCAAGAATGGGACACTGCAGCCTTCCCCTCACCAGCGGCCGCCCGCCGTCCGCGCCCAGAAAACGCGACGGTGCCGCGGCGGCCCCACACGACGCCGCGCACCCGTCCCGCCCGCGGCCCCGCACGCGCACCGCCCGCCGCCCCGCACCGCCCGCGGCCCCGCACGACAGCGCTCACCAGCCCCGCGGAGCCGCCGCGCGGCTCTGACCGACCTTGGGGCGGGACGGGGGCGGATCCGCGCCCGCCAACCCGGAAGGACTGAGGGGGGTGCGGAGGGTCGGGGCGGCCGCGTCACGCGGCGTGTGAGGGGCGGCGGCGCGGGGTCCCCGCCGTGCTGGGCGAGCCCGCGGCGCCGGCGGCGGGATAGCGGGATAACCGTGTCCAGCCCACGGTGCCTGACTGGTACCGGGAGGTAGAGGCTGGCGAAGAGACGCGTGCTGGACGCGGGACTAACGCCACAGCACGTAGGTGGTGTTCCCTCCGTTATTGTTACTTCTTAAAAATGCGTGATGAAGCAGCGAGATGTTGGACTTGAGGTGGTAGATGCGGTAAGGGAGGGTGAGAGGAAATGATGAGCTGTGGCACCTTTGGAGGAATTTCTTCACAGAAAGAGGGGTTAGACACTGGAATGGGCTTCCCAGCGAGGTGGTGGAGTCGCCGTCCCTGGAAGTCTTTAAGGAAAGACTGGACCTGGCACTCATGCCATGCTCTCGTTGACATGGTGATGTTTTGTTCGATCATAGGTTGGACTCGATGATACCAGAGGTCTTTTCCAACCTGTAAATTGATTCTGTGATTCTGTAGCTCTGCAAATAATGCATGGCTGGATGAAGAGAACACTTGGTTGGAGAGGCAGTTCCAGAGGACAACTACTCAGGCTGCCCATTGCCTGAATATGGAGTCTAACTTCACACGATCCTGCATATGTTATCTTCACACAATCTGTGGTTTCCATGCGTAAATTAGGCATGTTTTTTCTTTTTTTTTTTTTTTTTTAATGTATTGTAAGTCTGTGTCACTGCTCCTGCAAAACACACATTGCTGGAGATGTCACACAGCTGCAAGGCTCCTAACTGGTGAGCTGGGACTAGAAGTGAAGATAAGCATTGAAAACATGAGTCTCTGAGGGATATTTTAGGATACTCTACTACTACAAGACTCTGTTCACTACGGTGCTTTTAAATAAGTTTGTATGAAAGATTCCATTTAGAGCTACGGGTTATACCTGTGCTTTATGTTTTGTGCTCAATAACTTTTGGGCCCATAGTCCAATAACATGCCTCATCAGTATGATAGGGATTGGCATAATTCAGCTATTAATTCCATTTTAAAAGCTAGAATTAGCCCTCTCCTTTTTTTTTTTTTCCCCTAATTATTATATCTTATCAGCATAAAAAAAAAAACCCAAACACAAGCATGTAAAAATGCCTGGGTTCTGAATAGTGACAAGGTTACAGTGTATGATTTCTCAACGCCAGGCATCAAAGGTGTGTGCAGTATTGGTTCTGAACTGCTTCAGACTATTAGTTAAGACTCTTAGGACAAAGTGGGTAACTTCTAGTGGATACTTAAAAGCACTCCTAACTGCCTTTGGAGAAAAGTTTAATCCGGCCATTGAGTGCTTAGGATACTTACTAGTTTAGCGATCTCAGTGTTCTGCTCTTTGGTCTCAGAGGCTTGAAGTAATTGACAGGACTTGAGTTACTCAGGCCATTCTGCTTAGAAAGGGGCATACTACTGTAGGCAGTGTTCAGGGATTGTAATTTTGGAATTAACTGCCTGATTTTTTTTCTTAATTTTGTTCCAGTCAAACACAATTGCTCTCATGCAAACTTCAGTAGCACATTTGTAAGAAAAATATGGACTTGGGATCACATTCCACTCTAAGTGGTAAGTAGTTGCCAAACAGTCATTAAATTAAGATAATATAGAATATCTGCTAAATGAAAAGAATTTACATTTATGACCAAAGCTGAAAAGTTTTCTGGTTCAGTAATGATAACCTGAGACATTTAATTCCTCATAGGTGTATGCCTTAAAGAATGAGATTTGCTTTCTTGAAAAATTGACATATTGAAAAGTGATTGCAGTATATAATGCTGCAGAATTTCAACTTTCTTTTTCACATTAATATAAGCTTTTTTTACCTCCTCTTAAGGTAAAGTCTACAGATGTGGACAGAGGTCACAATATAGGCTTTAAAACTAGAGCTGAAATAACAAAAGAACACTGATTATTTGTAATATAGCTAATTTGTGATCTTTAAAGGATTGGTAATACTCCCTAAGTTGGTTGTGACAGTTGTTTACAATACTCTGACAAAACCTCCTGCATTGTCTCTCATTCCAGTTGCAGAGTAAAGATATGTTATTTTACCATTCTTTACTTTCGGAAGGGGTTGCCTAGGAACAGTTTTCCCATATGTCTCATTAATTTTAACTTGTGTCACCTTTAATGTCTGGCCACCTTTTTATCTCAACCAAAATCAATCCAATTCATGCCTTGGGGAAGTAAAAAATATGTTACACCCTCCCCCTCCCCCTGTTAATAATTGAAACTGGTAACATGTAATAGTAAACATAGTAGGAATTTGGCTTCTAAAGGCACCATTTTACAGTCCAATTGGATTTTTTTTTTTTTTAATGCAAGACAGTGCTGTTCTGATTTTTTTAAAAACGTTTCATACATACTTGCCTATTTTTTCATTCCCTCATGAGTGGTGAACAGACTGACCCAACACCACACATCCTTTTGAGTTTGTGGCAGGAACAGGTGACAAGGTCAGCAAAGATCAGACTGTTCAGGGAGACAAAATACAAACGCTGCCAGCAGGATCAGCTGAGGTATATTTGGGGCACCTCAGATCACAGTTGCTCTCCTCATCCTGAAAGTAGATTGTGATCTGGAATGTGCAGAACAAGTAGAGCAAGACTCTGGACTGAAGCTGAACAAAAATAGAAGAATTAAACTGTAAGTGGACATGTGAGCTGGATCATTCACAGTTAATATGATAATATTAGAAAGATGCATTACGTGGACCATCTTTTTCAGTCTGTTCCTGTTGGCATGAAAGGTAGTTTTAAAAATTAAATCAGAAGAGCATTTGTTATCACATCATACATAAATTATACATGAAAAGACATTGTTCTGGGCAGACACATTTATATTAAGTAGCCCTAGCCATACAATGATGTGGTCATGTTGGAGGCTTAACTTCATCGCGTTAAATTTAGAATTTCCCCCGCCGCTTTCCCACCCCTTTCTGCTAGAAACAGCTGTGTGCGCTCAGCGTGGCGCGATGCACCTGTGGCTACAGCTCTTCTGCTGTAGCCGAAGCCTTGGCCCTCTTAAGGCCACCTCGCCCGCTTTCCCCGTGGGGAGATCAATCCCAGAGGATATCGCGGTTTTGGAAATGCCGTTTCCAGGCTGCCGCGGGTTCGGGGGGGGCGGGCGCGGCAGCGGCGCCAAACCGAAAGTGCAGCGGCCGGGCGGGCCCGGGGCGGGCCCGCGCTCCGCCCGCCCCCCGCGGGCCCCCGCCCCGTTCCCTCCCTCCCATGAGCGCCCGAGCCGCCGGCCTCAGCATGTCGGAGAGTTTCGAGCGAGCGCCCCGTGCCAGCCGTGGCCCGGGCCGGGGAGGGGGCGCACCGGAGAGCGGCAGCGGCGGGGCCCACCCCGGGGGCAACGCTGCCCGTGGCTCAGGCTCGGCCGAGGAGCAGCAGCACCAAGCGGGCGGCCTCTTCCCGCAGCAGGAACCATTGCGGCCTCCGAAGACGGCGCCGCTGGGCACCGGGATGGCAGGTACGGACCACCCTCCCCCCGCTTGCTTTCTCCTGGGGCTCCTGCCGGGCTCCTGGCGGCGCCGCGCGAGGTTTGAGCGGAGCGGGGGCACCGGCACCTGTCGGCGAGAGGGTGGTCCTGTTCCCAAGTGCCTGAGCCGCGCACCGCCCTGAGGCCGAGGCGGGCTGGGAAGCCCCAGGAAGCCGGGGGACACCTGGTTGAGTAGGGAGGCGTGAGAGGAATGAAACCGAAGAGAAACAAGTGGTGCGCAGCAGAGTCGCCCACCACCTGCTGACCGATGACCAGCCCATCCCCCAGCAGCGGCAACTCCTGGCCAACTGGTGCCAGGAGGGGAGTTTATATACTGAACACCACATTCTATGGTATGGACTGTCCCTATGGCCAGTCCAGGTCAGTTGTCGGGTCTGCGTTGCCTTCCAGCTTTTTGTGCACCTTCTTGCTGTCAGAGCGTGGGAAAGTGAAATCCTTGATTTAGAGTAAGCACTGTTT